GTGTCGCTTTTGGTCAGAGTGACAGCAACAAAAGCAAGCTAGAGTAGGAGAAGACAACGGCATGTCATGTTCTATCTTTGGAGCAGATCAGAATGTCATGTCTCCACCCAAAGCCAGAGGTGGATTCCATTCTTTTAACCAGGGGGCACAGCTTTTCCTTAACAGGCTGGGAAAGAGCCTTTTAAGCCGTCCTCCAGGCCTCCGAGGGTTTTCACTAATACTCATGGTTTGACTCTGTGCTTTCACTGAATTCCTGAAAATGTTGTGATGCTCAGAGACCACAGGGAGGGTTGGTTTTTTCCGAATTAAGTAAGAATACCCACAGTGCTGAGAAACCACAGCCTGTTCCAGGTTCCACAGTTGCTCTGGGCCAGATGAGCATCAAAGAGCAACATGAGGGCTCTGGACAGATGAGTTAGAGGCGAAGAACTCTTCCTGCTCTTTCAGGGGACCTGAGTTCCATTCCCTTCACCCATGGTGGGTGGCTCACAAAAACCTGAAACTTCAGCTCTAGGGGGATCCAGTACCCTCTTCTGGTCTCCAAGGGTACACACACACACACACACACACACACACACACACACACACACACACATAAATAAAAATGAAATAAAGCAACATGGAGGGAAGATACTTCCAATAACTTTATCATCTACATTAATACATGTTGTCATAAAATATATGGTATGCACAATCATCCCTCTGCACCTGATAGTTCTGTGTAGGAAGAGAGTTCATCCACTTGGGAGAAGCACTCAGGGAAAACAAAACTGTGTTCTCCTGAGGATGTCTGACCTTTTGACCTTGCAACATGATGTCTTCTACAAATGTGTTGGGCAGCATTCATCACTCTCTGGGGTGGACACAATTGCCAAGATAACAATACAGAGTAACAACTATTTACCCACTGTTTCCACTGAGTTGAGTATTACAAGTACTCTGGAGGTAAATTTAAATCTCCAGAAGACATGGCTGGATTCTGGGCAAATACTGCAGCATTGTAAATAAGGAACTTGAACAGTGAATCGTATGGGCATCCTGGCATCCACATGTGTAGCCGCTGAACAATGTATGTTTATTTTAGTTTACTTAATATTTTTAACGACTGAAACAGGATCTTGCAGCACACCCTAAGCTAACCTAGGACTTGCTGTAGCTCAGGCTGGCCTCACACTCAAATCTTCTGGCCTTAGCCTTCCAAACGTTAGGATTACAGGTGTGTACCAGACTACCCTACCCATAACAGTTTCAATCAAGCTTTAAAAAAATTCTTAGTTTATTTTTAATGATGTGTCTTTGTGTGGGTATGTGCATGTGTGCGCAGTACCCTCAGAGGCCTTGGATCTCCAGGGGTTGTGAGCCACGAGTTCCGGGAACCGAATTCAGGTCCTCTCCAAGAGCAGCTGGCACTCTTAACTGCTGAGCCATCTCTTCAGCCCCCTCAATTAAGTTTTTTAAAAAGATAGTATGTTTTCAGGATGCAAAATTCCAAAGTATAAATGGAAGTACCAATCTCTCCTCCACCTTCTCCCAGGTTCCCTCCCCACACCCATGGGTATGACTTTCCAGAGACGTTTCATCCCTATACAGGTTACACACACACACACACACACACACACACACACACACACACACACACACACACATCTCTCCACCACAGTGGCATCACACCCTGCTCTGCCCCCCCCCTCCCCCCCCAGCTTCGGTCCCTTTGCAAGAGGCCTGGAGATCCACTTACATCTGACCACAAGGCCCCACTCATCTTAGTCAAGACAGTCATTCTCACTGTGCTGGATGGTCTCACAGTCCCCGGCCTCACAATTTACTCACGGTTCTCACCTGATCCCTCTAGCACCTGGGCTTGCACCCAGGAAGCTCAGAGACCCAAGCCTCCCGCCCCTCCGTTCTCAGATGCTTGTAGTTCCTATGATATCCAGAAGAGGGAGACACCATCCTATTCTCGGGACCACCAAGGGTTTTGGTTGTTTTCCTGAGGGGCAGTCAAGGTCGTGGTGTGGCTAGGTACAAAGATCCCCTAAGAGGATCTGGGATCCTCTGCACAGACCTCTACTAGGTCTCTCTTTCCTCTGCTTCTATCTCTGCATATGCCTCCTACCCTCAAGGAGAGGTCCGCTCATTTATGGGAGGCAAGAAACTGTCCAGCGAGGGCTTGGAGCTCAGGAGTTGCCCCAGGGAACACAGGCCAGTGTAGCTAAGTGAGCTACATCACAGAGGGAGGCCATGATGGGAAGTGTGTGTATGTGTGGGGGGGTGTCTTTTTCCTTGCCCCCTAGACCCTTGACCCTAAGTCCCCTTTAACTCTCCACACCCACAACAGCAGCCTCTCCCTAGCCTGGTGCCTCTGGAGCTCCACCCCACAGTCCTCACCATAGTGTTGGGGGTCGTCTGCAGTCCAGCTGGTGGCCGAATAGAAGCCACCCCTTTCCTGGTCCTGCCCCTCCCGGTGACCCCAATCCTCTGCCAGCCATTCAATGGTGCCTTGTTCTCCATCCAGCCCCCAGACAAAAGTCCTTCTGTGTAAGAAGGCGGAATTTGGGGGGAGGAGGCACCCCCAACAGGGACCAAGTGGGGGCTTGTACAGACCCCAGGCGGAAGGAGCACCATGAGGAGCAGGGCAGGAGGGAGGAGGGCAGGGTGGGGGCTTGCAGAGTTCGGGGGCTTATCTGTAGTGGAGAAAGGCAGTTCTGACATCCACACCCACACCCTCTCCGGAGCATCCTCCTACCAGCTCCGCATTCCTGGGAGAAACATGGCTCAGGACTACAGCCTGTGCCCAAAACCAGTTCCCTTCCCAGTCTTCAGTCTTCTGGGGCCTGGCCTATGAGCCCCGAGAACCACAACCCCCACCGTTGCCCACCATGCAAGTGTCTCCTTCATATGGCAGCCTCAGCCATGTCAATGTCTTCTATTAACCCCTCAGTCCTGCCAGCAAAGACTCCAGGACGGACAGAGGGCTTCAACTCCCTGTAAGCGCCAGCAATCCCACCCCCACACAAAACCACAGCTGGTGCTGCGCACCTTTAATCCCAGCACTCGGGAGGCAGAGGCAGGTGGATCCTGATGACACCAGAGCCAGCCTGGTCTACAATGTGAGTTCCAGGCCAGCCAGGGCTACATAGTAAGACCCTGCCTCAAATAAACAAACAAAGAAAAAGTATCCCCAAACCTAAATCAAATAGATGTTCTACTTTAACCCTCCAAAAAGATGGTTTGTTGTTAAGGAGCTGGGAACCTTCCCCATAACCCAGTCTCCTTTAGCGTTCAGGAGACTGGACAAGACATCTCCCCTCCATTATGATGCCAATCCCCAGCCCACCACAATCCCCTTTCACTTCACTTGAGGCTACTATAGCTAGAGAACGGGTAGAACTGTCTCTTTAAGGGAGGAATGGGGTGGGGGCGTCCCTCGCCTCAGGGAGACCTAACTTGTGCCTGCCTGCCCAGGTTTGCTCAGGGCGTGGCAGTTGTGGATAAAGACTGCCCAGGCTCGGCAGTCCACATTCTGCTCTCTCCCGGAACCACCTCTCAGCCTGTTGAGCTAATCAGGTGAGCGGCCTGGGGGCCCCTTCCTCCCAGAGACCTTTGCCTCTGTCCCCCAACTCTCCCTGGCTCTCCTCTGGCTGTCCCTGCTACATAAAAACTGGGGTTAAAGACCCCAACAATCTTCCAGTTTCAAGACTTCTTTTCTGGGGGCAGGAGACTACCCTCTCCTGCTTGAGCTGCCTGTTCCTCATGGCTCAACTCTGTGGGACTGGACTAGACATCTGGGGTAACCCACCTGGCATTCATAGTGGGGATCAGGAAGACTTGAGGGGGGGTCTGAGTGGACGAGAAGTCTGGTTTCACTGGTGGTATCTGAACTGGGTGGGGGTGTCAGGGTGGACGGGAAATGATCATACTGTGGTATCACGACTGGGGGTTTCTCAGTGGGTGAGGGGTAACTGAGTAGACAAGGAGTAGTTTAAGTGCACTGAGGGATGAAGTGAATGGGGGCTGTGTCTGGGTGGACAGGTAGTGGGGTACATGGACGATGATGAATGCCAGGAAAGAGGGATGCTCTGCTCTAGGGAGGCTGTAAAGTGGGACCTGGTTAGGAGATGTGGGGGACTCAGATGACACGTGTTTTATGCAGTATACCCCTGCCGAAGTGGCCGTCCTCCACCATCTTGGAGGAGGAGAGAATGCAGGAGGCAGGTGATAGCAACTGTCCTCCGACTGGCACAGCCAGGAAGTAGATGAGGTGGGGAGCGTTCCAGTCAGACGTCTCCGTGCTGGCTCCCACTATGCCCACTCCGAAGCAGGCAGCCTCTCTTCAGAAAACAGCATCAGCAGAGACAGGACAGTGAGGGGGGACGGCGGCTTCCGACTCCCTGCAGCCCTACACACGCCAGGGTCCAGACTGTGCAGCGGCAGGGCTGCAGGGCAACCCCTGTCTTTCCCCACCCCCCGATTCTGAGTGTTTTGTGGGGATGGGAGATTGGGGGCCTCGGGGGCCTTGGAGGAGTCTATAGGGAGAAATGTAAGAGGTGAGACCCAGCAGCCGTGATGACAGCGTACAATGTTAAGATGAACTCAGACGTGATGGCCGTGACATCGACGTGGAATAATGACAGTGCCAACTTCATCAAGCTGTGATGATGATATGAGGGAGTATCATGAGATCCTGAGAAAATGCCCGCATGGGCTGGGCACTCAGTAAGAGCAGCTGCCGTGGCTAGTGTTTTTACCCGAATGGGTAACAAAGTGTTAGGAGGCAGCCTTAGCCCACAGACACCTGCAGCATGTACCCTAACCACCACTTCAGCTCCCCAAAGCGCTAGCTGGGGCCCATGACATCTGAGACAGTCCCCAAATCTACTACAAAAAAAAAAAATGCATGTTTAATCTAAAACAGTGAGTCGTGTGTGTGTGTGTGTGTGTGTGTGTGTGTGTGTGTGTGTGTGTGTATGTGTGTGTGTGTAATGAGTATTAAATATTAAATCCAGGGCCTGAAGAGCAGGCTAAGCAAACCTCCACTGCTGGGCCAATTTTCCTAGGCCCTCACTGGGGCGTTTTAGGCAGGGGCTCTACCACTGAGCCACACCCCAGCCCTTTACTGGGGGATTCTAGGCAGGGGCTCTACCATTGAGCTGCATCTTACATCCTCTTTTGACTTTTTATTTTGTGAAATCTCACCAAATCGTTCAGTCTGACCTTAACTCTGTATCCTAGGCTGGCCGTGAATTATTAGCATTTCTCCTGCCTCAGCTTCCCTGGTAGCTTGCATGACAGGCCTCCGCCGACTTAGATTAATAGAGAAGCTGAAGGATTTCCCAGGCCTCTGGGGGTGGGCCCATGGAAATGGAGAAGTCTGTGTGAGCATATGGGACACCCCGCACCAGCACTGGCTGGCTCCATCCCTTCCAAGTGTGTGCTTTGGTGTGGGTAAAAAGGGCTAGCTCTGAAGTGTGACATTGGGACTGCTAGGGATTGAAAGAGACCCACAAGGTCACTGGACAGTGTTTAGCATGTGGGGAATGGGGACAAATGTTAGCGCTCACTATCTTGATTGTGTGTGAGTGTGCATGCACATGAGCTCACGACAGTTGAGCAGGACAGGTGGGAGAGGTGCACAGAGAACAGGAGTTTATTACAGGCCTCCAGGGTGACGCAAAGGCAGACTGTTAGGGCCCGAGCTGTATGGAAAGGGGCTCTGGGCTGAGTGAGCCTCGCTGGGGAACTACGGAGGGTTTGCTGCTAAGAGAAGCCCAGTGGGACTGGGGCTGGCATGAGGATCAAGAGCAGAGGCTGAGCCAGGGAGGGGTGAGGGCTAGGGTAGGGGGCAAAACCCAGGCTTGAGCTGGGACTGGGGAGAACGCTGAAGGGGCAGACCCAAGGGTAGGGCAGACAATGGAGGTGAGGCTGCAGCCAGGACCCCCCTCTGCACGTGCCCCACCAACTTGGCATTATTTCTGCCATACACCCACCCAGGAGCCCAGGGAGTCAGCTCAGGCCCCAGCTAGAAGCCTGCAGTGTGTGGGCAGAGCCAGGCAGGCTCCAAGCTGTCTGTGGGAGCCACTCCCGGAACCCGGGCCTCTTGCCACCTGGCTCCTGACACCCTACTCCCCAAAACACCCCGAGGCCCTCACAGTTCTGAGTTAGGAACAGCTAGTGGGGACAAGGCATTGTTTAAATCCTGTTTTCTGGACCAAGTGATCTTGGACATCAGCTTTCACCTCTCAGAGCCTCAGTTTCCCCCATCGTACAGATAGGGATAATAAGCTGAATGTGATGGTGCACACCTGTGATCCTAGCACTTGGAGAGCTGAGGCAGGAGGATGGCAAATTCAAGGCCAGCCTGGACATAGCAAAACACCACCCCACCTCTTCTCTCCAAGAAAAGATTTGTTACGGTAAAACCTAAAGTCGCGGTCCAGGGACGACAATGGCTGTTCCTTCATGGAGCCTGAATGCTCACCCAGCCCCCACTTGACTTTGGGGCTCCTTATCTCCCAGCCCAGTGAGCTTCAGGCTCACTACCAACCTTCCTGTGTGTACCTTGGGCTGTGCTCCTGGTGAGCAGCAGGCGGGATAGGGAACCAGAGGCGCATGGCCTTACATCCTGGACACTGCTAAGCTCGGGCCTCCTCTCTGGACTCTTCTAGATCAACGCTGCGACATGCAAGAGGTCACCCTGAGCCTGCTGGTCCTCCTAGCAGGTGAGGATCTGGCCACCAAACTGCCCTTTGCCCGGGGACTCTCAGCTGGGTGATGACAAGCTCTCTCTCTCTCTCTCTCTCTCTCTCTCTCTCTCTCTCTCTCTCTGTGTGTGTGTGTGTGTGTGTGTGTGTGTGTGTGTGTGTGTGTGTGTGTTTCCTTTGGGGAATGCCATTTACTTTTCAGTGACAGCAAGCCGAAGGCTCGGCCCAGTACTCTTGGGTGTCATGGCCTCCCTACATTGCCTTCCCAGATGCCTCTAAGAACCTATCAGTGATGTAGTGGGTAATGGGAATACCTCATGCCTCAGTTTCTCCATCCCTGAAAACACAGAGAACAACAGCACTTGGTCACAGGGCTTTTGTGAGGCTTAAATGTGTTAATGTTTGAAAAGCAATGAAATGGGGCCTGGGTGGAGTGGGCCCCAAGCGTTTGTGCCTCAAATATAATTAAGCATTGTTTTTCTCCCTGCAGCAGAAGTCAGGCCCAGGATGAAACCAACCAAGCTTTCAGCCAGAATTTAATCCTTACTCCTCGCTTTTGCCCTGTTTCCTCCTTCCGTCCCTCCTCCCTCTGCCTCCTTTGTGTGTGCGTGACTGTGTGTGCTCATGTGTGTGTGTGTAGCTCTTCATGCGTGTGCATGCGTGTGCGCGTGGCAGCCGGAGGACAACTTTAGGCATCATTCCTTAGGAGCGATCCACTTTTTTTTTTTTTTTTTTTTTTATTTTATGTGTTTGGGTGTTTTGCCATTTGAGTGTTTGGTGACTGTGGAGGCCAGAAGAGGGTGTCAGGTCCCCTGGAACTGCAGTTACTGATGTTTGGGAGCCATCTCCCAATGTGTGGGTGCTGGGAACTGAACTTAGGTCTTTTGCAAGAGCAATCAGTGTTCTAACCACTGAGCCATCTCTCTCCAGTGGGGGCCCCCCCCCTTTTTTAAAAAAAACAACAACTGCTTTTTACTTTATCATCTTTGGGCACAAGTAGCATTCTATTTGGAAAAAGGATAAAGGAATGAATTGTTGCCAACCATGAGTCATTTCAAAGGGTCAAAAGGTCAGCAACCCTGATAATGTGGGGTGTAGCTGTGGGGGGCTGTGGGCATTGCTGGTGTGGAGGAAACAGGCCTGGGAACAGAAACCATCTGCTACCTTGAGAAGCAAAGCCTCTTCAGCAGGAGGTGTGGCCTGGCCATGTGTCTGGAAACATTCACTCACACAGTGGCCAAAAAGTACCCGGAATAGGATCTGTTTCCGGTGGCAAAATGCTGGCATGACTCACAGGTGGGGGTGGGTGGGTGAGCCCATATCTCCATGACGGCGCATGTCCAGGTGAGACTAACCAGCAGCCAAATCCTGTGCACTTTGGAGGTGGGGCTGTTCCCCCATGGAACATTTTTCTCAGGCAACAAACTGACCCTGCTGAGGGCCACCATAGTCACCCTTGTCCTTCCTTGTCCCCGCAGGCCTGCCTGCTCTGGATGCCAATGACCCCGAAGGTGAGTCAGAGCCCACCCCTCCATCCCACTTACCTCAGACCCCTGCTACTCTCTCAGATTCATGCGTGTGTCCTTTCTCTCTCCACAGATAAAGACAGCCCCTTCTACTATGGTAAGAACACTATCCCCTCTTTACTTCTTCCCAGTCCTACACATTATTTTGTGCCAACGGTCCCACACAAGGGAGGCTGACAGTTCACAGTGACCCAGGGGACAGGATAGGAGAGGGTTTGGAATGGGTCACTGAGCATCCAGGTATCTGGAATCAGCCGTGAGGGAGAATTCAAGACAGACACGGGGCTGAGTCCGGTCTGCAAGAGGCGTTAGGTTCAGATCAACCACCAGAAAGTTGGTCACAAAAATCTCCCCAGAGAAGGTGGGGAATTGGACCCCACTCTTCCCGGCAGCCCCCCCTCTCACAACCTGTGCACCTTTCGCCTGGACCACAGTCTTCCATGTGTCTTCAGGGCTACCTCTGTCTTCCTGCAGAACTTCGTTCAGTGGGACCTCCTCAGACAGCTTGACCACTCTCTAAAGACCCATACCCCGACTTTCTATCCCTGACACTGATCCTTTCCCTTCAGACGGCTTCTCTGCCTCTGAATGGACATGAAATACCTTGTTTGGCTCTTAACTGCAATGTGTGCACAGCAGGGCGGGGCTTTCTCTTTCACTGCTATCAAATGAACTGGGAGACAGATGCGGGGCCTGGCCAGCTCTGAGGCCTCCCGTTTCTCTCTCAGATTGGTACAGGCTTCGAGTCGGTGGGCTCATCTGTGCAGGGATCCTCTGTGCCGTGGGCATCATAGTTCTTATGAGTGAGTACGGAGCTCTGGATGGGGGAGAGAACAGGGAAGAGTCGGTGTGTTCCTCTGACTGTATCCTTCTCCAACAGGTGGAAAGTGCAAGTGCAAGTTCAGCCAGAAGCCCAGGTGAGATGGGTTCTGGGCATGCCCAAAAGGCTAAGCCTTGTGCAAAGAGGACAGGCCTGGCTGCTCTGCCCTGAGGTCTCCCGGGCTTGGCTTCATGCAAATCATCCCTAGAAGGCTTTGGTCCCTAGCTCTGTATAAACCTACAGTGGAAAACCAGCCAAGAAACTGTCTAGGCAAGCTGAGAATACTTAGCCCTAAGGGAGAGAACAAAGGCGATTTATTTGTATGTTATCACTTTTCTATTTTCCCAGTCACCGTCCAGGGGATGGGCCACCTCTCATCACACCAGGTAAGACACTCAGGGTGGCTGGGGATAAGGGTCACAAGCGGTGGCTGGGGTAAGGGGAGAAGGGACTGGATAGACCCTTGCAAACTGACCCCATCCCTCCACTAGGCTCTGCTCACAACTGCTGAAGATGGACCAGTTGAAGAGCACAGCACACCTCTGAGCCAGGTCCTGGCTCTGGAGGTGGGCCTGAACTCCAAGACGGCCGTCCTGTCCTCTCCTGACACTGCCTTGCCTGGGTCTCATCTTACCTCTCTCATGATAGCTGGATCTTTGTTCAGTTTCTAATCTAAAATGGTCGTGCTCAGGTGAACTCAGACTGTGTGCATTCTGGAGTGTGGCTGTGAGCAGCGAGGGGGCGGGCAGATGTTGGGGTGGGCCTGGGGGCCCTTGATGAGGTGGGCACTTGTGTGCAGAAGCCGGTGGCCGAATCTCGGTTAGACCTGTGTGTCATGACCTGATGATGGGCATGAGACTTCCTGCTCCCTCCGTGGGCAGCCTCCGGTGCCACTTAGATGTTCTAGTGGTAAACTAGGGACACTTCTAGGAGTAAAAAAGAGCCCTAATCGAGTACAGTGTTGACACTGAGAATGACTATAACAGGTCATCCTACCGTGTTGGGGCCACTCGAAGAGTTTAGCCCCACCCCCACCCCTACAGTGGCTTTCTCATCCATTCTGAGACCTCACTTTATCCTGAGACTTTTCCATATACCAACTGTCCCTGTGAAACCTTTAATTCCCCCAGGACACCCCTAAAAATATACAGCAGGCACAGAGTGAGACCCTCCACTAGCCCCAGGCTTTCTTGAGATTCCCTAGTACCCATGATGCCATGTGACACCCTGGAAAATGCCTAAAACCTTTCAAAGCAAAATTCTTACCCAGGATCCCATCCAGGGCCATCACCCGCCACTCAACAACATTCACAAGACCTTCCTGCCATGAGCCCACAGACCGGGCAGGTTGGGAGCGCAGGGCATTTATTGAACTCACACACTTTCTGTTCTTGCCCCTGTCACATTCTGGGAACGGGGTACCCACGGCTTTCTCTGACACCTCCAGACTCATCTTTACCGTTTCACTTTTCTGCGCATGCGTAAAAGCATCAAAACGCCCCACTCGGACTTTGGCAGCAGACATGCGCATAAACAGCAAAGTGCCAGTCTCGGAAACTGCCCAGCAACTGTGACGTCACAGAGATACGTACTCCTCCACGAAAGCCAATGGCCAGATTGGGTTTGAATGGAAAAGAAAGCTCTCTCTCTGTACTTTATATGGAGCAGGACCAAGGCGGGATATCCAGACCTCTTGAGCTCAGCAGACTGCTCTTTTGATTTCTGTATCCCAGCTCCTTGTTGTGTCCCAGGCTGAGCTCCCAAGCCATTGCCTAGGGAACATCTGTCCTCAGCCAAAATGTGGCTTCAAACTGCAAGAGCCCCAAACATTGTTGGGAGCAGAGAGACCTCCTCCCGCTTCCCCCTAAAGTGCAGATTCTCCAAAAGGTGGGCTAAGCCTGACCCAGGCTGATGCACTGTCCTGTATCACACAGTACAGGCTGTGATGGCCAGGAGGCCAGGCCCGAGAGGGTACCCAGATGTCATAGGATGTCCTTGCCAGCCCCACAGCCACTTCCAGGGTCCTGCCCAGTCTCAGGCACTGAGATCCAACTCGTGGTGCTGGTAGATCTGCGTGGGGCCCTTGAAGCACGCTGCGAATAGAAAGCGTCTTCCTGCTACCATGACTTGGGTAAAGGCTCGAGGGGCCACCAAGGCCGGGGGTCCCAGTTCCTGTAGTGGCTCCAGGATCCCTTTATCAGGCTCAAGGCGGAAGACTTGGCTGAAGGCAAAGTCGCTGCCCAAGATGGCCAATTGGTCTCTGGCGATGAGCAGTGGCTGGAAGACATGGGAACCTCGAGATGGAAGCTGCTGTAGCAGTCGGAACATGGAGCCATCCCAGCGCATGACCTGTAGGGTGCAGAAGCTAGTTAGACCCTGGGTCAAGAGGCACTGGGCCTCCCTGTCATCCTCAAGGCTCTGGAGGACTTGTAACACGAGCCTGTAGGTCCTCAGTTTCACCGTAGCTATGTATGTATGTATGTATGCATGTATGTATGTATGTACGTATGTATTTGTTTGTTTGTTTTTGGGGAGTCTTGCTGGTACTGACTGACTATCTCAGACTCATGGTCTTTGTGCCTCAGCCTCCCTGGTACTGAAATGCCAGACCCTTGACTAACACCAACACTATGCCCAGCAGCTTTCCTAATTTACAGATGATAACATCTGTCTGCTCAGAGCTGATCTTTGTTCTAGACCTTTCTCTTTCCCTCACATGCCACACAGAGTGTCCAGCAAGGGTCTTTTGATCGTACTGTGACGAGTCGTGTTTATGGCATGTGTTCTGGCCACACCCTGGCTCAGCTTCCACCTTCTCCAGTCTCCTACCTGACCCCTGACTCGCATTCTCATCTGCACTGTTTTCCCCTAGAGACCCCTCAAATAACTGCGTGGGGCGGGGGTGTCTGTCCCTGACTGCACCTCATTCTGAAAAGAGAGCCCTGGAGGCAGTGAGCAGGGCCTACCACCAACCAGTTCAACCTTGAGGGTGTAGTATCCCAATGGGAAGGGTGTGGTTGGGGTTATCTATCATCCTGGAATGTTCTAGAGTTGCAGAGCCAAGCTTAGCGGAGCAGAATAAGTTTAGCGGAAGCAGGTCATGTTGGCACCTTCCTGTTACACCGGCAGAGGCCATGAGATTGAGGCCAGCCTGCACTACATGTTAAGACCCTGTCTGAGTCTCTGCCTCAGGCTGTATTCAGCAGGCAAGCCCTCACTTTAGAACTCATCAGCTGAGGGTTGGGAATGTAGCTCAGCTTATGCTAGGAATTCACTAGAAAGGGCCTGGGGCTGGGGCTTAGTGGGGCTTGCTTGCCTAGAATTCATGAGGGATTGGTTGTGGGTGAGGCTCAGTGATAGAAACCACGCCTGGAATTCACCCGTGAGAGGCTGTGCTGAAACAGGGGTCCAGCCCCCTGTCTAATGAGGGTCAACTGCTGTGATCAGGCTTGGCTTCCACTGCGTGCCCCCAGCCTCACCATGGAGTCCCCAATGTATCGTGTCAGGCACAGGAACACGTCTCCACCGGCCTGAAAGTGTTTCGTAGCATAGACGTCCTCAGCCTCTGGGATGTCTGTGCGCCTCTCGAAGCGGCCACCAAACCAATGAAAGAGCACCGGCCTCTGGGAGGCCGAAGCAAGCAGCAGATGCGGTCGGCCATCCAGCTCCAGGGCCTCAGCGTCCGTGTCGCGGTGCCAGGCATGCAGGCTCTGACGTGGGTAGAAGCCGGGCCCATCGCGGCACAGCAGCGTGGTGCTACCAGCTTTGGAGGCGTCAGCCACCACGAAGCAGGGCTGCCCATCCAACCACAGGAGCTCTGCATCATTGGGTCGCAGCAGCCTTTGAGGGGCTAGGACCTGTATTGGGGCCAGACGCAGGTCGGGGCTAGACCGAGACCACAGCTGTGAGCCTCCCCACAGGCGGGCAGCCAGTATGAAGAGGTGTGGGCCCAGCACCAGAGGTTTGCAGGACACCACGGAGCGCGCTGTAGGGAGAGTGTGACACAGTCAGGCTCAGTGGCAGTCTGGGGACAGGAGAGAAGGGGCCAGGACAGGAGGGGAGCTCACCGGACACCTCTTCCTCAGGCCGGAAGCGCTGCAGGCTGTAGTCCCAGACCAGGATCAAGCAGTGGCCAGCGAAGGGCTGTGCCAGGATCACGTGCGGTTCCCCCTGATAGGAGAAGGACTCCACGCTCAGTGCCGACTCCCCAACAGTCTGGAGCCAGGACAGTTCTAGAGGCAGCAAGAGAGTCAGAGGTGCCTGGGGGTGGACTGGGGAACCTCAGTTTCTGAGCCTTCTTAGCACATCTTTGAAATGAGAATTCAGTGTTCATCACATAGGAACCTATAGAATGTAACCTTTTTGTCTATAGATATCTTAACTCTCAGAAACACAAATATCTTTCTTTTCAAAGCTGTGTGGCATCATCAAATAGTCCACTGGAAACTGTCTTAGACAGATGTTGTGGGACATGCTTATGATGGTAGCCTAGGGGAAGCTGAGGCAGGAGGATTTCTGGTTGCTGGTCAGCCTGGGCTACATAGCCTGATCTTGTCTCAAAACACAAAACAAATCAAACAGCATGTTTAGTTACTCAATTAACTTTACAACAGCATTCCTGTGAGCTACACTTTGTTACCATGAAAACTTGAGGATAAGTGACTCTGTCAGCCAGCTAGCCATCAACATCCATTCTCCCCAGACAGACCGTCAACCCAGCTCCTCAGGAGAATGAGCCATGACAACTGAAAGTTCAAGGCCTGTCTGGGATACAGGAGTTCAGGACAGTCTTGGCAACTTAATAGCAGACCCTATCTCAAAACAAAAAAAGTAGAAAGAGGGCTAGGATGTATGTAGATCAGTGGTGGAGCCCCTGCCTAGACTCCCCCAGTGAGGGGCTGGGATGTGGCTCAGTGGTAGAGCCCTTGCCTAGAATCCCCCAGTGAGGGGCTGGGCATGGCTCAGTGGTAGAACCCCTGCCTAGAATCCTCCAGTGAGGGGCTGGGGTGTGGCTCAGTGGTAGAGCCCCTGCCTAGAATCCCCCAGTGAGGGGCTGGGGTGTGGCTTGGTAGTGGAATGCTTGCCTAACATTTGGAAGGCTCTGAGTTTAGTCCCTAGTAACACACACACACACACACACACACACACACACACACACACACACACACACCACTTTTTCCATAAAGCAGGGAGATGACCATCAGGCAGCCCAGACAGAATGTTCCAGTACCCCTACCAACACACTCCCCAGATATCATGATCAAGTTCACAACAGACAAGAAGTGTGATATTCACTTCATTGTGTGAACATGACTTGTTCTGGACCTGGCCTCTTTCACCTCCTTTTTGCCACATCCAAAAGCACATGGAGGTGTCACGACCTGGCTTGAACCATAAAAACAAGGGCAGCGACTAGGGGCTACCCCACCCATGCAGAAGACAGGTCATCTGCTCCCATTTGTGTTTATGTGTGGGATGCATGACCTGTGTGTGGAGGTCAGAGGGCAAGGGTGAGAGCTGGCTCTCTCCTTCCATCCTATGGGTTCTGGGGACTGAAGCCCGGTCATCAGGCGTGGTGGCAAGTGCCCTTAGCCACTGAGCCATCTCACCAGTCCAGGAGTTCTTTAGTTCACTCTCCAGGTTGTCAGAAGAGACCCAGGCTGTGTGTCACCCTACAGACCAGGCCCTGTTCCTAGGTGG